CATAAACAGGTACAGGAATTTGGCTGTCTTCTATTGTGCCATTTATTATTGCAAAATCAATGTCTCTCTTACTATTATTTTTGCTTTGTTAAATTTAGTTTTTCTTCTTAAAAATACATTATTCATATAAACACATGTATTTATTATTGTTAGCTTTAAATAAAATTTTAAAAACATTCCTCAGTTTTAACTTTTAATACGGTTTACCATATAAGCAAAAACTTTTGGGGCCCTAAATAATCTTTGTGAGAATAAAGAGATCTGGAGACCAGAAAGTAGGAAACGTTACTTTAGGACGATTCATGTCCATGCTCCTTGTTCTCGTAGTAGGTAAACCAGTGGCATCTGGTTCTGTGATGTAGTGTTGAGGGCTCCATGTAGGCTTTTCTTAAAATTTGAAATATAAAGTCAGTTTACAATGTGTCAACTTCTGATGTACATCATAATGTTTCAGTTACACATACACATATCTGCGAGGCTGTTTCTGTTTTGTAGATAAGTTAGTGTTTTCTTTTTTTAGATTCCACATATGAGCGACCTCATATGGTATTTTTCACCTCTTTCTGGCTTACTTCACTTAGAATGACTATCTCCAGGTCCATCCAAGTTGCTGCAAATGGCATTATTTTATTCTTTACATGGCTGAGTAGTATTCCATTGTATAAATATACCATAACTTCATTACCCAGTCATCTGTTGATGGACATTTAGGTTGTATCCATGTCTTGGCTACTGAATATAGTGCTGCTATGAATACTGGAGTGCATGTATCTTTTCAGATTAGAGTTCCCCCGGGATATATGCCCAGGAATGGGATTGCTAGATCATATGGTAATTTTATTTTTAGTTTTTTGAGGAATCTCCAAACTGTTTCCCACAATGGCTGCATCAAACTACATTGCCACCAACAATATGCGAGGCTTCCCTTTTCTCCACACCCTCTCTGGCATTTATCGTTTGTGGACTTTTTTGAGTGATGGCCATTCTAACTGGTGTGAGGTGATCTCATTCTAGTTTTGATTTGCATTTCTCTTAGATTAGCGATATTGAGCATTTTTTCATGTGCCCATTAGGCATTTGTATGTCTTCATTGGAGAATTGCTTGCTTAGGTCTCCTGCCCATTTTTGCATTGGGCTGTTTGCTTTTTTGTTATTAAGTTTATGAGTTGTTTTATATACTCTGAAATTAAATAGGTTGTTGTTTTGTTCTGCTTATGGTTCCTTTGCTGTGCAAAAGCTCATAACTTTAATTAGGTCCAGTTTGTTTCTTTTTGCTTTTATTTCTATTGCCTGGGTGGACTGCCTTAGGAGAATATTGCTAAGATTTATGTCAGAGAAAGTTTCGCCTATATTTTCTTCTAGGAGGTTTGTCATGTCTTGTCTTACATTTAACTCTTTAAGCCATTTTGCGTTACTTTTTCTTGAAATCTCTCCCCACCAGCCTCTCACTTATTTACTACCATTTGTAATTCCTTCATTTGGGTTAAGTAATATAATGATATCGTGATTAGCACTTACATAATAAGACATTATTCAGTCAGCAGTTCCCAAACTTTAGTATAAGTAAGAATATGGATAATTGCTAAATGAGTATTATTTATCTTTTATTCTCTGGAATCAGTTTTGGAGGGTATGGTTCAGAAATCTGAGATTTCACACAGTCTTATTATTATTTCACACAGGTTGCTATTAAGTAGGTAGCGGTAGGGCCACACTTTTTACTACTCTGGTCCATTTATTTTGTTCACTATGTGGCCACCATCTACAGCAAAATGTATGACGTATAATGAGGCTTAAACAAATATCTGATGAATGGAAGAATGAGGTAGAACCACTTTAGGTGTGGAGGGTAGAGAATCTCAGACACTTCCTGGTGAGTCTGATTTCAGGAAGAATATGGGGAGGTTGAAGCCAGAATCCAGGACAACGTGAAGACATTTTAAGTCACAGGAAGGAAAGGGAAGGAGAACAGGGACCAGAGGAGATGAATAGAACCAATATGACTTACTGAATCCTGACTGTAGGTCTGACATTATGCTAAGATTTTACACATTTTACTTTATCTCAATTTTCACAACAACCTTGAGCAAAAAGGATTATTATCTCCATTTTGCCCCCACAGATATCCTCTCCCCTCCTCTTCTCTCCAGGCTATACTAGGAATACATAGGTGAGATACTTGACTACAGAAAATAAGACATGTACTCATTCCTCTGAACCCATCCTCTTCATCTGTCAGGTGGGGAGGGGGTTCAGAAGGAGGTAGAGGAAGTTTGGAAATGTGTCTCATACATTTGTTTTTCTCATTTTCCCCTAGGTTTGCATGCTAGCTTTCTAGTTGAAAATCGGTGCATCACTGACATTGAACTGGTGGGTTCCTGACACTGTCTGGAATCCATTCTTACCAGTTTGGTTAGACTGACTACTTTCACAGCTGCAGGTGCCAGCTCTCCCTTCAGTTGTGGCTCAAGCCAGTCCAAAGGAATCTGCTTTCTTCTTTTCTTCAGGTAAGGTTGCCATATTTAGCAAAAATAAACAAACAACAAAATTATGATCATTTAAATAGACCATTGTTTCAGATAAACAATACATACTTTTTAGTGTAATCTTGTTCCATGCAATACTTGAAACATACTTTAAAAAAATTCACTATTCATCTGAAATTCAGATTTAACTGGATGTCCTATATTTTATCTGGCAATCCTTCAGAAAAAAATGATAGTGCTTCACAACTTCTCACTTTACTCCCCAAATCACCATTGATTTCCTCTCTCTGTTAACCGTCTTCTAAAAAGGACCTACACATTTTGGGACAGAGACATTTATCATGTTATTACTAGGGAAACTGAAGCTCAGAGAGGTTAACATGCTCAAAGTCAAACAGTTTGTGGTAGACCTTGAATTTAAACCTGGATGTGCCTCTTCCCATATCAAATAAATAAATAAATATTTAAATAGATTTTAAAAAATAAAAGCTACTTTCCTTTCCAGTACTCTTCATACCATGGTAAACATTGGGGAGAGAGGAGTGTGTCAGTCAGACTTTGCTTATTTTTCAGACTTCCCTTGTCTCTCTGTGTTAATTAGGGCATAATTCAAGTTGCTCAAAGAGACCAAAATATAACATTACAATGATGGTTGAGCATTACAAGATGCTAGTCCAGCGGCTTCACCTCAAGAGATTGCTCTAAAATCCAGGTTTCTCCCATTGTATAAATCCTTCTACCAGATCAACTCTATGCACACATTCCAGCTCAGAAAAGGATAAAACAGTGAGAAAATCCAGAGAGAACAATTTCATTTTAAAAAGTGGTACAGAACCTGCACTTTCCACTGAGGAGACACACCATCTAGTCATATACGATTGTCCTCTTTAATCTGTTAATGTAGTTAGGTTAATATATTTTCTGGCATGGAGCCAATCTTGTATTCCAGGATGAACTGAAGTTAATTGTGATGTAATACACATTTTTATACAGTTTCAAAGTTAGCCTATTGCATTTATGTACATAAGTGAGAATACTCTCTAATTTTCCTGTCTTGTGTTGTTTGTAACTAATTTTGGTGTCACGTTATACCAGCCTTATAAAATTTAAGGTAGAATATTTTATTTTTCTTGTTTTAGAAAGGGTTTGTGTATGTTACACTTATTTTGGAAGTCTGGTACAACTCAGTGGTAAAGACTTTTGGACAGTTTTTAAATGGCTGATTTCCTTTAATGTCATATAAAATTTATGTTTTTCTAATCAATA